AGACATTAGAGGCCCCACTTCTAATGGTCCAAGACATTAGAGGCCCCCACTCCCTAATGGTCCAAGACATAAGAGGCCCCACTCCTAATAGTCTAATGGTCCAAGACATAGAGGCCCCCCACTCTAATAGTCCTAATGGTCCAAGACATTAGAGGCCCCCCACCCCTAATGGTCCAAGACATTAGAGGCCCCACTCCTAATAGTCAAGACATTACAGGCCCCACTCTAATGGTCTAATGGTCCAAGACATTAGAGGCCCCCCACTCCTAATGGTCCAAGACATAAGACCCACTCCTAATAGTCCTATGGTCCAAGACATTAGAGCTCCCACTCCTAATGGTCCTAGTATTCTTAGACATTAGAGGCCCCCACTTCTAATGGTCCAAGACATTAGGGCCCCACTCTAATGGTCCAAGACAGAGGCCCCCACTCCTAATAGTCCTAATGGTCCAAGACATAAGAGCCCCCCACTCCTAATAGTCCTAATGGTCCAAGACATTAGAGGCCCCCACTTCTAATGGTCCAAGACATTAGGGCCCCCCCTCCCTAATGGTCCAAGACATAAGAGCCCCCACTCTAATAGTCCTAATGGTCCAAGACATAAAGGCCCCCACTCCTAATAGTCCTAATGGTCCAAGACATTAGAGGCCACCCCACTCCTAATAGTCCAAGACATTACAGGCCCCCACTCCTAATGGTCCAAGACATAAGAGGCCCCCTCCTAATGGTCCTAATGGTCCCAGACTTACAGGCCCCCCACTCTAATGGTCCAAGACATTAGAGGCCCCCACTCCTAATAGTCCTAATGGTCCAAGACATTACAGGCCCCCTCCTAATGGTCCAAGACATAAGAGGCCCCCCTCCTAATAGTCCTAATGGTCCAAGACATTACAGGCCCCCACCCTAATGGTCCTAATGGTCCAAGACATTACAGGCCCCCACTCCCTAATGGTCCAAGACATTGAGGCCCCACTCCTAATAGTCCTAATGGTCCAAGACATTAGAGGCCACCACTCCTAATAGTCCAAGACATTACAGGCCCCCTCCTAATGGTCCAAGACATTAGAGGCCACCACTCCTAATGGTCCAAGACATAAGAGGCCCCCACTCCTAATGGTCCTAATGGTCCAAGACATTACAGGCCCCCCTCCTAATGGTCCAAGACATAAGAGGCCACTCCTAATAGTCCTAATGGTCCAAGACATTACAGGCCCCCAGTCCTAATGGTCCAAGACATAAGAGGCCCCCACTCCTAATAGTCCTAATGGTCCAAGACATTAGGGGCCCCACTCCCTGGTCCAAGACATTGAGGCCCCCACTCCTAATAGTCCTAATGGTCCAAGACATTGAGGCCCCCGACTCCCTAATGGTCCAAGACATTAGAGGCCCCTCCCTAATGGTCCAAATTTGAGGCCCCCACTCCTAATGGTCCCTGGGCAGGCCCCCTCTAATGGTCCAAGACATTAGAGGCCCCCACTCCCTAATGGTCCAAGACATGAGGCCTACTCCTAATGGTCCTAGACATTGACCCTCACTCTAATAGTCCTAATGGTCCAAGACATTGAGACCCCTCCTAATAGTCCTAATGGTCCAAGACATTACAGGCCCCACTCCCAATGGTCCTAGACATTACAGGCCCCCTCTAATAGTCCTAATGGTCCAGACATTAGAGCCCCCCTCCTAATAGTCCTAATGGTCCAAGACATTACAGGCCCCACTCTAATGGTCCTAGACATTGAGGCCCCCACTCTAATAGTCCTAATGGTCCAAGACATTAGGGCCCCCACTCCCTAATGGTCCTAGACATTAGGGCCACCACTCTAATGGTCCAAGACATTAGAGGCCCCTACTCTAATGGTCCTAGACATTAGAGGCCCCACTCCTAATAGTCTAATGGTCCAAGACATTAGAGACCCCCCTCCTAATAGTCCTAATGGTCCAAGACATTAGGGGCCCCCACTCCTAATAGTCCTAATGGTCCAAGACATTAGAGCCCCACTCCTAATAGTCCTAATGGTCCAAGACATTAGAGACCCCCACTCCTAATAATCCCAATGGTCCAAGACATTAGAGGCCCCCACTCCTAATAGTCCTAATGGTCCAAGACATTAGGGCCCCCACTCCTAATGGTCCTAATGGTCCAAGACATTAGAGGCCCCACTCCTAATAGTCCTAATGGTCCAAGACATTAGGGCCCCCACTCCTAATAGTCCTAATGGTCCAGACATTAGAGACCCCCTCCCTAATAGTCCTAATGGTCCAAGACATTAGAGGCCCCACTCCTAATAGTCCTAATGGTCCAAGACATTAGAGGCCCCACTCTAATGGTCCTAATGGTCCAAGAATGAAAGGCCCCACTCCCTAATAGTCCCTAATGGTCCAAGACATTAGGGCCCCACTCCTAATAGTCCTAATGGTCCAAGACATTAGGGCCCCTACTCTAATGGTCCTAGACATTAGAGACCCCCCACTCCTAATAGTCCCGAATTCCAAGACATTAGAGGCCCCCCTCCTAATAGTCCTAATGGTCCAAGACATTAGAGGCCCCCACTCTAATAGTCCTAATGGTCCAGACATTAGAGGCCCCCACTCCTAATGGTCCTAATGGTCCAAGACATTAGGAGCCCCCGACTCCCTAATGGTCCAAGACATTAGAGGCCCCCACTCCTAATAGTCCTAATGGTCCAGACATTAGGGCCCCCGACTCCTAATGGTCCAAGACATTAGAGGCCCTCCACTAATAGTCCTAATGGTCCAAGACATTAGAGGCCCCCACTCCTAATGGTCCTAATGGTCCAAGACATTAGAGGCCCCCACTCCTAGTCCTAATGGTCCAAGACATTAGGGCCCCGACTCCTAATGGTCCAAGACATTAGAGGCCCCACTCCTAATAGTCCTAATGGTCCAAGACATTGGAGGCCCCCGACTCCCTAATGGTCCAAGACAATAGGCCCTCCCACTCTAATAGTCCTAATGGTCCAAGACATTAGAGGCCCCCACTCCTAATGGTCCTAATGGTCAAGACATTAGAGGCCCCCACTATGGTCCTAATGGTCCCAGACATTGAGGCCCCACTCCTTGGCCCAAGACTCCCTATGGTCCAAGACATTAGAGGCCCCTCCTAATAGTCCCAATGGTCCCAGGCCCCCTCCCTATAGTCCTAATGGTCCAAGACATTAGAAGCCCCCACTCCTAATAGTCTAATGGTCCAAGACATTGAGGCCCCCCGACTCCTAATGGTCCAAGACAGAGGCCCCCACTGTGGTCCAAGACATTAGAGACCCCCCTCCTAATAGTCCTAATGGTCCAAGACATTAGAGGCCCCCACTCCTAATGGTCCTAATGGTCCAAGACATTAGAGCCCCCTCCTAATTTATAGCACATAATTTGGGCTGTATCAAGCGTAGGCAAGAAATGTTTGTGGACTCGTCCAGGACAAGCCGGAGAATACGAAGGTTTTGGTTTTGTTTCTTGTGCTGTAGTTCGAAAAATGTAAACTGCTGTCAAATTAATACTAGTACTGTACACAATTAATGTATATTCATAAATTATTTCATGTACAATATTTTATATATTGTGGTATTACAATTTATCAGCATATATTTATACAACAAATAGCTGCATCTTTCATATTTCAGTAGCTGTTGTTCTCCCTTGACGCAGGAGTACAGCTGAGTGAAGACCAACACCGAATTGACGGTATTTGTTCGCCGGTTTGAAAAAATACCAGTTAAGGATTGCGTGTGACGTCATCTTAGTTTATGCCACTGTCTCTGAGGTGGGATAACCTGTCATGCCAGGAAGCCGGAGAACACTTTAACCTGAACCACTGTAGGACCAACATTATGAAACCCATGTACTGTCAGTGCATCATAATTACGATAAGAATATATTTCATTATATATATATATATATATATATATATATATATATATATATATATATATATTCCACTTTATTGTTGTAGAATAAAATAAAAGTTTCTACAACATGGAAAAATTCTTTATTTTTAGTGATGAAGGCCGAGAGTCTTAGTTTTACATGCTGTTTACAACGTATAATTGATATGCCATTCAATACCAATTCAACATTGACATATTAATAATTTTCTTTCAGTTTAACAATGAATTCCATTGAGTCCAAGTCATTATGTCCTGTAACAAAAATTATCACAATACAATGTAAAAATGTGGAAAAAATTTGAATAGCCACGCTACAAAAGTTTGCTGGTACTGTAGAGAAAAGTTCTACTGTAGCCCTGAGCAGAGTGTCACTTGTACATACTGCATTTATGTCATCAGTTGCATCTTGTGTTATTCTCTCAGGGCTTCGTATAATACTATAACTGTTTAGTACTAACACAGTATGATTAATTTAAACAAATATATAAAGCATAAAGTATTGTTGCCGCCGTAATATGTCTCCTGTACGTTCATCTGAGTGAATGAGCACCGTTACAACTTAATGGATTGTTTTTTTAAGATTGGACTGGTGACTGATGCCCTGACCGGGTGTAATCACCGTAGCCTAACTAAGCCTAACCTAACTATTGCTAAAACGAATTATAAACAAGAGAACATGACCTAATATAGCTGTGTTTAACTAACCTAACTAAATTAAGTCAAGTCTGATCTAATCTATCTCTAACATACTGTAATTTAACCCAAAACAAATTAACATCTTCTATGAAAAATCGAGACAGGTTTAGTTTGGCATTCTCTCCTGAACCAGGATTTGAGGCTGCTACGATTAAGGCTCCGTAGTCATTCCTTGTGACAGCACTGAGCCGTCTGGCTAGTGAGGGGACAAGCGGCAGCAAATATTAAACAGAACGAATACAGACGGTGCCAACCGCCCGAAGAAAGTTGAGCGGCGGCTTCTGTCTACATTACCACTTGTGAGTGACGAACAGCAGCTGATTGGTGGCAAGCGCCAACGGTGAGAGTGGCAGTGTGTTGTGACCAACTGCAGCAGGTTATGTAAGGAAGGGGAGAATCCATTCATGCAAGGTACGAGGAAGGAGGTTGTTCCTGTGTGTGGTGTCTTAACCATGTGGTGATGGCAGGCATTGGGGACGATGGCAGGCATTGGGGACGATGGCAGGCATTGGGGGATGATGGCGGCATTGGGGATGATGGCAGGCATTGGGGGATGATGGCAGGCATTGGGGACGATGGCAGGCATTGGGGGATGATGGGCATTGGGGGACGATGGCAGGCATTGGGGACGATGGCAGGCATTGGGGGATGATGGCAGGCATTGGGGATGATGGCAGGCATTGGGATAGTGGCAGGCATTGGGGACGATGGCAGGCATTGGGGGATGATGGCAGGCATTGGGGGACGATGGCGTGGGGATGATGGGCATTGGGGATGATGGCAGGCATTGGGGGATGATGGCAGGCATTGGGGATGATGGCAGGCATTGGGGACGATGGCAGGCATTGGGGGATGATGGCAGGCATTGGGGACGATGGCAGGCATTGGGGACGATGGCAGGCATTGGGGGATGGCAAGCATTGGGGGATGATGGCAGGCATTGGGAGGATGAGGCGGCATTGGGGATGATGAAGCATTGGGGATAATGGCAGGCATTGGGGACGATGGCAAACATTGGGGGGATGATGGCGGCATTGGGGGATGATGGCAAGCATTGGGGACGATGTGGCATGGGGGGATGATGGGCATTGGGGACGAAGGCAAAGCATTGGGGACGATGGCAGGCATTGGGGGATGATGCAGGCTTGGAGGATGGCAGGCATTGGGGACGATGGCAGGCATTGGGGACGATATGGCAGGCATTGGGGGACGATGGCAGGCGTGGGGATGATGGCAGGCATTGGGATGATCATTGGGGATGATGGCAGGCATTGGGGGACGATGATGGCAGGCATTGGGGGACGATGGCAGGCATTGGGGGGATGATGGCAGGCGTGGGGCGGTTGATGGCAGGCATTGGGGGGATGATGGCATTGGGGGATGATGGCAGGCATTGGGGATGATGGCAGGCTGGGGGATGATGGAGCATTGGGGGACGATGGCAGGCATTGGGGGATGATGTAGGCATTTGGGGGATGATGGCAGGCATTGGGGACGATGGCAGGCATTGGGGGATGATGGCAGGCATTGGGGGATGATGGCAGGCATTGGGGGTGATGCGGCATGGGGGATCTGGGGGACGATGGCAGGCATTGGGGGATGATGGCAGGCATTGGGGGGATGATGCGGCATTGGGGGGATGATGGCAGGCATTGGGGATGATGGCAGGCATTGGGGGATGATGGCAGGCATTGGGGGGATGATGGCAGGCATTGGGGGATGATGGCATTGGGGGATGATGGCGGGCATTGGGGGCGATGGCAGGCATTGGGGTGATGGCAGGCATTGGGATGATGCTGAGCATTTGGGGGATGATGGCAGGCAGTGGGGGGATGATGGCAGGCATTGGGGGGATGATGGCAGGCATTGGGGGATGATGGCAGGCATTGGGGTGATGCGGCATTGGGGTGATGGGCATTGGGGGGATGATGGCAGGCATTGGGGGGATGATGGCAGGCATTGGGGGATGATGGCAGGCATTGGGGGGATGATGGCAGGCATTGGGGGATGATGGCAGGCATTGGGGGATGATGGCAGGCATTGGGGTTGATGGCAGGCATTGGGGATGATGGCAGGCATTGGGGGATGATGGAGCTGAGGGATGATGCGGGCATTGAGGGATGATGGCAGGCATTGGGGGATGGTTGAGCATTGGGGATGATGGCAGGCATTGGGAGGATGATGGCAGGCATTGGGGGATGATGGCAGGCATTGGGGAGATGGCAGGCATTGGGGATGATGGCGGGCATTGGGGGGTGATGGCAGGCGTTGGGGGGTGATGGCAGGCATTGGGGGTGATGGCAGGCATTGGGGGTGATGCAGGAATTGGGGGGATGATGGCAGGCATTGGGGGATGATGGCAGGCGTTGGGGAGGATGATGGCAGGCGTTGGGGGGATGATGGCAGGCATTGGGGGGATGGCAGGCATTGGGGGATGACGGCAGGCATTGGGGGATGACAGCAGGCATTGGGGGGATGATGGCAGGCATTGGGAGGATGATGGCAGGCATTGGAGGGGATGATGGCAGGCATTGGGGGATGATGGCAGGCATTGGGGGATGATGGCAGGCATTGGGGGATGATGGCAGGCATTGGGGATGATGGCAGGCATTGGGGGATGACAGCAGGCATTGGGGGATGACGGCAGGCATTGGGAGGGATGATGGCAGGCATTGGGGGGATGATGCTTGAGCATTGTGGGGATGATGGCAGGCATTGGGGGATGAGTGGCAGGCATTGGGGGATGATGGCAGGCATTGGGGGATGACGGCAGGCATTGGGGGATGACAGCAGGCATTGGGGGGGATGACAGCAGGCATTGGGGGGATGACAGCAGGCATTGGGGATGATGGCGGGCATTGGGGAGGATGATGGCAGGCATTGGGGGATGATGGCAGGCATTGGGGGATGATGGCAGGCATTGGGGGATGATGGCAGGCATTGGGGGGTGTGATGGCAGGCATTGGGATGATGGCAGGCATTGGGGATGATGGCAGGCATTGGGGGATGATGGCAGGCATTGGGGGATGATGCAGGCATTGGGGGATGATGGCAGGCATTGGGGGATGATGGCAGGCATTGGGGGATGATGGCAGGCATTGGGGGATGATGGCAGGCATTGGGGGATGATGGCAGGCATTGGGATGATGGCAGGCATTGGGGGGTGATGGCAGGCATTGGGGGATGATGGCAGGCATTGGGGGGATGATGGCAGGCATTGGGGGACGATGGCAGGCATTGGGGGGTGATGGCAGGCATTAGGGGAGTGATGGCAGGCATTGGGGAGTGATGGAAGGCATTGGGGGATGATGGCAGGCATTGGGGATGATGGCAGGCATTGGGGATGAAGGTTTGAATTCTATTGACGATACACGGTAGGGTCACAGTAGTTAGGGGTCAACAGATATGAAGCAGTGGGGAATGGACGGATACTCTGGATCATTAATAAGATACTTGAAATAAATTAAGTCTACGCAAAGGGGGGTAGCTACTTCTCCAGGGGGTAGCTACTTCTCAGAAGTGCTACCTTCTCGGGGGTAGCTACTCGAGGGTAACAACTTCGGGGTAGCAACTTTCAGAAGTGCTACCTCTCTCGCAGAGGTAGCCTACTTCTCGGGGGTAGCCTACTTCTCCAGGGGTAGCCTACTTCTCAGGGGAATGCTAACTTTTCGGGAGTATAACTTCAGAATGCTTCTACTCTCGGGGAAGGCATTCTAGGGGGTAGCTACGTTTCCGGGGGTACTATTTCTCCGGAGGAGAATGTAGCTACTTTTCGGGTGGGTAGCTATTCTCCGGGGTGGCTACATTCCGGGGGTAGCTACTCTCGAGAGTAGCTACTTCTCCGAGGTGGTAGCTACTTCTCGGGGGTAGCAACTACTCCGGGGGTAGCCAGGTAACACTGGTAGCAACTTTCCAGAGGTGGCTACTTCTCAGGTGGCTACTTCTCCGGGGGTAGCTACTCGTCTCCGGGGGTAGCTATTTCTCGGAGGGTGGTAGCTACTTTTCCGGGTGGAGTAGCTACTTCTCGGGGGGTAGCTACTTCTCGGGGGTAGCTCTTCTCCAGGGGGGCTACTTCTCCAGGGGTAGCTACTTCTCCCGAGGTAGCTACTTCTCGGGGGTAGCTACTTCTCCGAGGGTAGCTACTTCTCCGGAGGGTGGTACTACCTTCTCCGGGGATAGAGTACTTCTCCGGGGAGTGGCGTCAAAAAATAAAACTTATGTATTTTAGAAATTTTATGGAATGTTTAAGATAACAAAATATTGTTTGGCTAAATTACTGTTATCATTGATGTATGTGGTTCATCCAATCTTTATTTCTATAACAAAACAACTTTAGAAATAAACGCGAAAAAAATATTATAAATAAATTTCGAACTTAAATTATCAGTTGTGAGTCGTTGCAACAAAATAATGGTGACAGGTGAAGCATCATGTTATAAATAATGGTGACAGGTGAAGCATCATGTTATAAATAATGGTGACAGGTGAAGCATCATGTTATAAATAATGGTGACAGGTGAAGCATCATGTTATAAATAATGGTGACAGGTGAAGCATCATGTTATAAATAATGGTGACAGGTGAAGCATCATGTTATAAATAATGGTGACAGGTGAAGCATCATGTTATAAATAATGGTGACAGGTGAAGCATCATGTTATAAATAATGGTGACAGGTGAAGCATCATGTTGTAAAGAAACGCGTCTGTTTTGTTACTTCAATGACTACTTCAACAATGGTTACTAAGCTGTTAAGTGAGGATATATTCTTCGTATCGTTTACTTGTATATAAATTACCAAAGATGTTTCCGGTCTTACCTGTGAATAAGACGGCGAACATGAGGGTGGCGCGGAGTCTTCCTCGACCGTCCATGGCGTCCTCCTGCACAAGCTCCTTCTCTCTGGTCACTTTTGTCAACTTTGTGTTTCAGAGTCTAGCATAAAAACGCTTTGCAAGTTGTAACGGTAAATAAAAGGCACTGATTTACAGAGAAAACGGGTGTTACTTGTGTTACAGTAGTTACAATACCTCGTTCATCACTATTTTAGTCTTAGTAAGTTTTAAGTTTATCGTGTGTCCACTTCCTGGGAGCATGGTTGCCCAGCCTGACGACAAAGTTCAATTTGTCTCTATCACAGGGTAATAGTTTTTTTGATTCCAGAGGAAATCTCGTTTAGTTTATATTAACACAAGTACAATCTCTTGTCAACATTAATTTATCTGTAAGTCGAATAAGATCAACACATTCACAGAGACACACTGATTCACATAAGCTCACATTATTTATCATATTACCACAGAATTAATTTACCATATACTGAGCACGCATTTATAACTGACAATTTTCAGCAAACTTTAGAGGCGAGCTTTTTCAGGCTTCACTCACACGACAGACCACACACAAAGACGTTTCTTGAAATCTCGAGGCACTTTGTAGAAGCTTAAGAGGTTTTCTGAAAATGAAAAGAATATCAATATTAGTAAACAAAACAAAAACCACACATGGCAAAAATTTAGATGAACAAAATACATTATAATAATATAACAATTTTACGAACAAAGGTGCAGGGAGGATCTACAGATAATGACAGGCTTCAGTACTGCTGCTGTGGAACGTCTTTGATTATTTCTAGTAACTGTAAACATTATTTTTGTCAATTTATGTTTCTGTTTCCTATCTTACCATATGGAAGAAAAGTTGTTACTGTCAGTTTGGTCATTACAAATTTGTATCTGGGAAGAAATAAAGACTAAAATTCCAATGAAAAATATTGATGTTGTTCTCGGGCCCAGGAGACTGTGCTGGGGGGGCAGCTGTGGACAGGTGAAAATAGTTCTCTTACTGGCCTCTGATTTTAGCAGGAGAGAACTGTTACAGGTTGCCGAAATACATATAATAGGGTGATTATTACTACTCAGAGGTTCGTTCATGATAAACTCAGATATAGTTCAGAGGGAAACTTACTACGATTCTCGATGATTCCAATAAATTGAGGTTATACAAAATGTTGAAGGACGTGTAACGAAAAGTTGAAACATTTACGGAACTTAGTTTACTGTAATAACTTGGTGGCAGCATTAAATAAATACAGTAGTAGGTCGCGACCGCATGGCTCCTTGGTGTTTAATTAGTCACAAGTTGGCTGGGAAAATTTTACTTTAATTGAACCACGCTCATGTAGGCTTTTTTTTTCCTTGGCAAATTTCTAAATAATGTTTCTTACTGCAGAAAAAGTGGACGTTAATAAAGAACAATTTGTACTTGTAAGCAATACATGCATAGTGAAACCAACGACATGCGCATTGTGTGCAAATGATGCCCCTCGCCTGTCCACGATTCAATTAAATCTTACTAATTAATTTTAAAATCTCTTCACATTACTACTAGAACATTTTTACTGAAAATATATTACCGGACATAAGAACCAACAATTCCAGAATAAATAAGCATTATAAATTTTAAGACTCATTTCGGATACGAGGCTGCAACAAAATTATACGAATGCGATAAATTATACGAATCAACCGTATACAGTTAACTCAGAAGCCGTGAATGATACACTTTATGTGTTGGCACTTTCCAGAGCTGCTGACAATTTAGTCGCCAAGTTAACTTTGTTTTATATATGT